TGGTGTCATCTCCCCATAAGGTCGGCCCCTGCCACTGCCACAATGGCTCCTGCCTGGCTGGGTGAGGCCTGGAGCAACAATGTGCTCTGTGCCCCAGGCCAGAGAGGGGCCAGAGCCAAAGCCAAGACAAAGGGTAAGCAGTGGTAGGTGACAGGTGAGAAGAAGGAAGTAAAAAGCAGCGGAGGGTCCAAGGCATGAGGGATGGGGTACTGGCACCAGGGGGGCAGGCAGGCAGGCAGCAGAGGAGGCAAGCAGAGATGGAAGAAGGCACCAGGGGTGTAGGCACCAGAGAGGCACAGGTGTCACAGGGAGTCAAGTTAGGGGGGCAGGTGATGCAGGGGAAAAGCTAAGGGGGTGTGAAGGCTAGGCATCAGGCCACTTGACTTCCCCACCGCCTGCTCCTCTGCCACTGCTTCCCTCTCTGCCACTGAATTCCCTGTTGCAGCAGTCAGAGGGATGAATTTAAGATGACCCTCCAATAATTAGATTCTACACACAGAAAATTTTATAACAAAATGTATACATTTTTTTTGTATAGCATCTAATTATTGAGGAACGGTCTTAAATTACAAGTTATCTTAGATCTGGGTAAATAAGGTATATATCAAAAGAATAAAAAACAAAAATGCATTGAATTTAAAATAATAATAATACTGAGAGATACAGCCCAGATTAAAGACTCAATGAGATGATCCAGCAATGCAAAAGGAACTTTAAAGTCAGTCCTAAATACACAACAGTGTAAAGACGAATACTTTATCACTTCATATTTATCCAGTCCACTGAGGCGGTATTTGGAAGTCAGCTGGGATGATGGCATGTAATCAGTGGAGCTACCCTGCACCAGCTGATATAAAATAAAGCAGCACTGAGGCCCCAGTAACTTGTGTTAAGAACCAGTTTACCTCTCACACCTGACTCAGGATCCCCTCCTTTCCTAACTCAGTTGTGCTGAAGTTGTGCACAGTGCAACTGAGAACTGTCTCCTAAAATCCTTAGAGACCAATTAGTCTTGTGCACCTGGCAGAAGTTACATTAATCAAGCAATTAACACATTAATTGTGTGATAAATGGTATCATGCAAATGACCAAGCAATTTATCTTGCAATAAAATGGCAAACCTGCCTCAGAGATGTTACTCCTTAAACGCAAAACTTCTTGTGGTGAGTACCTATCATGCATTCATTTGAATGTCTGAAATATTATTTAGACCCTCCACTATGCCACAGTGCTCTGGTCTCCCTCCTCTGCCTCCAAGGGAAAGGGAAGGAAGGATGGAAACATGGAAGGACAGAAGGACTTTGACTTTTTAAGTACTTTATTCATGAGTTTGGGGTCTAAAAAGTTGGCCCCTCTGGGGTCCAGGTCCAATATACAAAGCAAAGACAAACAAATTACCATCAAACCAAGAGCACCATTGTCATTACATTCCTAACACCACACCATGACAGACACCTTCACTGTATTGCATGTTGTGCCTAATATGCCATTATGCGGTCGGGACATCAGCCACATGGTCGCATAGACCAAAGCCCTCTATAAACAAACGATTCCTACCCTGCTCTATCCAATCATACACGTGACAAACCCTTCAACTTCCCACACAAAGAAAAAAACAAAAAGCAGTCTCGTGAGGGCCTAGGGTGCAGCATGAGCTGGGAGTCAGTCTGACACTGAGCCTGCCCAGTTGCCCAGACCAGTCATGACATCAGAGCGCGTATTGAAGACGGCCGTCCTCCACATGGCACAGCGCTCCCTCAAAGGCCCAGCATGCCTCGAAGGTGGGCACCGCCTGCCAGAGCACAGCGTGCTTGAATTCCAGTGAGAGGCACACCTGCACCAGGTAGCCAAAAAGCTGCAGGGCATCAGCTGAGCCAGTCCCGGCAAGCCAGTTGTGGTGGCTCTTGAAGACAGCCATCTTGGTCTGACCCAGTAGAAAGTTGGCCAGGCAGACAGCGCCCCACTCAGCTTCCCGGTACGGGTAGGAGCACATGTAGGTGGTATCCAAGAGGTTCCTTCCCAGCACTCACAGTGGCGGCTCAAGGGTGAGAAAGAGCAGCCACAGGCGGGGACAGTTGAGGAAGATGTGAAAGAGGTTCTCCTCAATGGCCCCAGGGCAGAAGGGACAGGTCGTCAAGGCAGCTGGGCCAAAGATGCAAATGTGCCAGTGGCTAGGATGCTGTGCAGCAATTGCCATTGGAAGTCACCAATCTTCCTCGCGGTTGGCCGCTTATACGTGTGCCAAGCCAGGTGGGCCAATGGGGAATCTGGCGGCCTTAGGCGCCATCACCACGGTGTATCAGAGTGGCCTGCCAGCACCTGGGCATGGCAGAGGTGAACCACCCAGGCATATAGGTTTCTACGCAACAGAAAAGCAAAGGGGCAACCCATGTCACTGTTAGGAGACACAGGGAGCGTCAGCAGGGTGCCAGGCCTGCCGGCCAGCTCACCAGCCACAGCCAGGGGGAGGGGCGGCCGCGGGGGGGCAGGCCCGGCCGCCCCGCTCCCCAGCCACAGCCAGGGTGACTGGCAGCATGGGAAAAGCCTCGCTCAGGGCATTCATGGCGCGGGGGACCTGGCATGCCCAGAGATGGTCATCCAGAGTGGCTGCTGCCTCCGGTGGGAGGGCAGCCTGGATGTCATGCAGGAGAGGGCCCACGCTGCCGACAGAACGGATGCCTAGCTAGGTGGTCAGGGCCTCAGGAAAGAGCCAGGCCGACCGAGTAGGGTCAAGGAGATGGCTCTGGTGGACGACACACGCCTGGATGAGAGCGGCCATGAGGCTGGCAGAGGCCAGGTTCAGCACGGGGTGCCTCAAGGATGGGTTCTGCATCAGGGGCTCCCTCAACAGCTGTGGAAACTACAGGTGCCGGGCCCAGGGCTGGAGGTGGAAGGTGGCCTGCCAGGCTCATACCATGCCATGGTAGAAAGCTGGAAGCAACACCCAATTCAGGAGTATGAAGAGCTCCCGGTTGAAGCCAAGGGCCCTCACCCTCTGCAGGAACCAGCACACCAGTTGTTGCCAGGGTAGGCACTCCTCGCTCTGGAGGAGTTGCTGAACAGCTTGCGGGTGGAAGGCAGCCACCTAGCTCGCGAGGTTGAAAGGCTCTGGTCCCCCTCAACACCAGGTGGGTAAAGAACATCTTGTGGGAGCCAGAGCTGCCCATTCCAGAAAAAATCTACCAGGAGGCACTGGAGCCTCTTAAGTAGGTCCAATGGCAGGTCGAGTACGGTGCACCGGTGACACAGGGTTGCCCCCACCAGGTTGTCTGCGATGAGGACATGTCCATGGTAGGACAGGCTGGGTAGGCGCCAAATCCACTGTTGTAGGCAGGCCTCTACCCCTTCCTCAAGGCTCTCCCAGTTGCACGCCATGAAGGTCGGTGGCCCTGGGAACACGCTCAGAACCTTGAGGCCCTCACAGCGCCAGGTGAGGTCGCCTGGCAAGTTCAGGGGCTTGCGCTTATCCACGCACCAAGCAGCAGGGTATCACTCTTGGCCTAGTTAATATGGGCCAAGGAGGTGCGTTCATAGGCTCGCTAGCAGTCTGTCAGGGCCCACATGTCTTCCTGGGTGTTAAGGAAAATAGTCATGCTGTCTGCATACACCGACAGCCGGAGCGGAGGGCCAATGGATGGACCCGTGGCCGATGGCAAGGCCACACTACTCAGGCGGTGCTGCAGCATGTGCAGAAACAGTTCGATAGCCAGGGCATAGAGCATTCCCGACAAGAGGCAGCCCTGATGGATGCCCCTGTGCACGGGAAGTGGGGGGCAGAGCATGCCATTCATCTTGAGCAGGCTGAAGATGTCTTGATACAAGACCCAGAGGGCCCCGGTGAAGAGGGGCTCGAAACCAAAGGCCTCCAGGGTCTGGAAGAGGTAGGCGTAGCCCAAACAAAGGCCTTCTCCTGGTCCAGAGAGATGAAGCCGATGTCTAGGCCGAAGAGTTCACTGACTGCAAGTGAGTCACGCAGCAGGAACAGGTTGTCTTGGATGGTACTGCCCAGCACGCAGTAGCTCTGCTCAGGCCCAGTGATGGAGGCCATGACAGTGTGGGTGTGGGTCGCCAGTGCTTTGGCCAGAATTTTGTAGTCCACACACAGCAGAGAGACTGGCCACCAGTTCTTAATGCAGCCCAGGTCTCCCTTCTTGGGCAGCAGCATGAGTACCGCTTGGTGTCAGCTGATCAGCAGGACCTTGTCAGCAAGGCTGTCCTGGAAAACGTGCAAGAGGCAGGGGCTGAGGAGAGGTCAGAAGGTCTTGCAGAACTCGGCAGGTAACCCATTGAGGCCTGGGGCTTTGCCGGAGGCGAAGCCAGCTGCGGCAACTGCCAGCTCCTCCAGAGACAATTCCCGCTCAAGCTCACTGGCCT